CCCTCCATACCCAAACCCCACCGCATTGAACCTCAACCCCTGCATCTGGAGCCCCCTGCCTCTGGGCCCCCATCCCTGCACCCAGACCACCCCACAGTGAGCTCCCTGCACCCAACCTCCCACCCTGACGAGCTCCATCCCCCTGCACCCAGACACACCCTGCTGAGACCTCCAAACCCACAGACCCCTGCACTGAGCCCCAACCACCTTCACCTGGAAGCCCCTGAACAGTCCCATCGCCCCTGCACCTGGAACCCCACTCCCCACAAGCCTCTGTGCATCCAGATCTCCCCCACACCTAGACCCCTCACTGAGCTGCCTGCACCCAGACTGTCCCACACAAAACCATCTCATCCCACACCTGGATCCCCCCACTCTGAGCCCCCCACACTTGGATCCTGCCTGGTTGAACCTACCTGCCCCACACATGGTGCGTCTGGCGCAGCAGGGCAGGGCCCCAGAGTGTTTCTGGGACAGGCCCAGGCCTTGTGCTGTGTCAGGATCGGGTACAGCATCACCACTGAATCCGTGTCCCTGGGGTGGGGGTGGGGAGGCTGTAGGGTGATCTTCCACCTGTGTGTAGCCAGTGGCCTGTGCTCCCCACTGCCATGCTGGAGCCTCTGCATTTATTTACTAACAAATAAAACTTGCAGAATTTTAAAATATTGTGCGCAGAATTTTAAATTTTTTTGGCGCAAAATGCCCTCAGGAGTAATATAATACACCCACTGGCACATTCCACAGGCATGAATTTGGATCAACCTGCATAACTTGCTCAGGCCCTCATCACTCATGGGTAATGTGAACACCACAAATGCAAACCAACACCTCATCATAGCACTAGGTCCATCCTGCATTTTTCCCCTATGAAGAGTAATGTCTTGTACCGAAGTCCATTGCGGCATGCAGCCAGGATTTGCACCCAGTGATTTCCCTACAGCAGAGGTGCTAGGAGAAGCGACAGGAACATTTCAGCTATCTGATCCATAGGACGTTTCAGACTTGGAAACATATGCTTTCCTGCCTGATACGGATGTGCTGATTACCATCAGCTTATCTTACCAAGATGCCTCGGAGTGCAATCAATACTAAACAAATAAATTATTAATTGCTTCAAGTAATTAAATTTATCAAATCCAAATAAATATAACTGATATTTTATGTCGCTGCTTTCCAAGCCCAGGCTCTGAAGGGACGATATTGATCAAGGGAGGGGAGACAGATGTTTCACATGTTAGCAGCTGATGAGGTCTGGGTTTGCATTAATGTCATGCAAGGAGCAGAGTCAAGAGCCTCTGATGGAGAGTAAACAGGCAGCGTGCTTGGCCATTTAATTGTGGGTCAGATCAAATATGAAGAATAAACATTATAAAAGACACGCATACAAACCCCCTCCCCCTGCCCCGATCTTTCACGGGAAGCCTCATTCATCTTGGAGCTGTGGCAGAAACCCAACCCCTGCCCCCAAAGAAAAAAAGCAACCACAGTAAATTGTAACTCATTAATCAGTGCTAAGAAAATGCTCAGCTGGCTAGTAAATATTTAAAAGCCAGTGAGGGCGAATATTTGAATCAATGGGAACTAAAGCTGTGTTCAAAGTTTTTCTTCCCCTATTTCTTTTTTAATTGGCCTGACCGGCAATTTGTCTACAAGATTCTAGTTAGCGGGTAGCAAGTCAGCTTGCTGGCTGGAAGCCTCGTTTGGAGGGAAGTGCCCGGCTGTGAACTAAACGAGTGAGCTCGAGAGTCCCTCAGAGCATTCTGCGGATCTGAGCGCTCAGAGAACTCCTTTTCATCCCAGGATTTTGCTTTGTCCCCAAAGGAGACAACACTTAATTCTTTCTCTTCCAGCCAGCTGGCCCCCCCCACACACACACTTAACAACAGGACAATAGCACCAACTCAGTCCCCCAGCACGGGGACAGGGCTGTACGCTCCCACCCTTCCTCCTAGCCCGTGGCCAAGTGCTCTGTTACTGCGGGGGCCTGCTGCCGCATTAAAACAACTCCTCGTCATTCCTAGACAAAACTGTTATCGTGGAGTTAAGGCTGAGAGCACAGATAAACAATTTAGGGTAAAATACATGACAGAGATGTTGTAATTATCCCCAAACCAAGCACAATAAACCCAGGAAATTCAGAGTTAGAGGTTAAGCTTGAAAGCAATCCAAACCCACTAAGGTATGGACATGCAGTTACGACACCCAAACCTCCTTAACTCTGCCCTGCAGCGACACCATGTAATAACCATATGATTAGGATTAAGGCTTGTTAGTGCTTTGGGGCCTGGAAAAGAGTCCAAGGATTTTTAAAGGCACATTCTAGTTTTTCTTCTCTTTTCTCTCATAGCGTCGCACCCCCAACCCCCAGTTTCCTTCCCTCCTGTCTTCCCACTTCTCCCTGCACACGCACCCCACCCATGCCTCGTTTCCTCTGCAGCCTAAAATCCCCCTCCGAGGAATTCACAATGAATCGCACTTTTTTAAAATGTCCACCCGGTTCCAGTTGTTCTCAATGGGACTGATGCTACAGGCTGCCCTCAGTTAGGACACCCTCTTTTAACATGGCCACTGACTCCATGCTACTCTCATTCAGGATGGTAGCTCCAGACACCAGAAAACAGCAAGAAACTCTGTGAGGAGCAGGTGACAGGAGACCATCTCTGCCAATAGCCTCCGTCCCACTGAGAACAATAGGGGCTTGCAGCCAGTGTGAACGAAGGCAGCTTGTGGGATTCCCTGACGATTATTCTTCAGCCTCTGCAGAAGGAGAAATGATCAGCTATGAAGAATAATGGCAATAAGTGAACACTGTTCCTAAAACAAATGTCTTTATATGCAGGTGATGCACAAGATTTCAGTGAGCTTCAACTAGATGGGAAGTTTGAAAAGTCTGTGTCATTCTATTATTATGACCACTAAAGACAAATCAAATCCAACTCTGGAGACTTATGTTCTTCAAGGACCAGGTTAACAATAATTTTAAGGAACTAAACTATTAGTTTCAATTAATGGATGAATTCTAAGCAATCCGTTCTACAGCCAAAAAGTAAGTGCTGTCATTTTGAGGAGGATCAGGGGCATTTTTCATACAAAACAAAGAAGGTGAATCCCTGCTCTGAGTGCAAAATTCAACTTAGCCTTAACTGTGGAGTAGCAACTGGTGCCTAATAAAACATAACATAAAAGATACATCTGACTGTAAACAACAATACCTAGATCTGATACAGCTCTTCTCACAGAACCCTGTAGGAGCGGCCATGCTTACCAAGCAAGAGGACTGGGTGAAGGGAGAGACCACGGGGCAAATCTCTTACACCCAGCCTTGCCAGTAAATACTGGAGCCTCGAGTGCTTTGTACAAACGCTGCCCCTCACACCAGAGCGGCTGCTTCCCCTTGTCATGTTCATGCTGTGGGGTGTGTCCAGGGCCTGGCTGAGAGCGGTGTACAGAGCAGAGAACTAAAACCCCCAGGTCAGCAGAATTTGCAATTCCACGTTCATGCTGCTCAGCACTGTTACAGTGCCTTACAGGTTCGACCGCGCCGCACACACGTCAGCTCGTGAATCCTCAGCCCTCCCAAGCGAGTGAGTCCCTTAGCCCCATTTTACCTGTAGGAAAACTCAACCAAAGAGGTTCAAGTGAGTGGGCGAAGGCAGCAAAGGGAGTCCGTTTCAGAGCCGGAATCAGGACTCAGAAATGCCCAATTCCCACGTTCTGCCCCTTTACCCTGACAGCCCTGCCCTCCCTATCCAGCCGGAGCCCACAGCACCCGTTGCCATTCATGTGGGCCTCCCATCCGGCTATTTGGCCTGAAGAAAGTGGCTGCCTCTGCCAGATGGTTCTGTCACAGACATGGTGTTGCTCAGCTTTGCTTCCAGTTAAAAAAAATCCAGCCACCCCTTATTCGTTTTCAAAATCCAGCTCAATCTCCGTAAATGACTCTATTTATCTTGGTGCCAGAGAACGCATCTGCCATGTCTCCATGAATCTTCACACATGTACCAGAGACTGTGACCACCCGACTGCATTGCAAAGCTGAGGGCAGTGGCAGCTCCTCAAGAAATGGGATCCCCACAGCTTGCACGCCCCTCTGTAGCCTGCCTGCGCCAAGCCACAGCTAACACACACACAGCCCATGGGCGCCGCACAATTCCCCAGAGACGGCGCTCTGCTTCCCCGTGCATTTCGTGCAGGGGCTGAACATCTCTTGACATCCCCTGGAGCAGACCAGAAAATTTACCAGGCTAGACAAAGTATCTGCTTGCCCCCCATCACCATGACAACAACAAAGTAACTAAGGGTGTTTTTTACTTGCCTATACAAAAAGATGCTCTTTTCCCAGCAAATGGGATTTTGCAAGGCTGATATCGAGGCCCCTGAGAACAGTCAGTCACACAGGTGGGTTACCTGGATCACTACTCCCCAGCCTCGTGCTAGGAGAGAGATGTCGACTCTTGCACATAAAACAATGCCAGGGTTTATTACTTCTTCACCCTGAGGGTGAAACAGGCACCTGGAGCTTTTCGAACCAATATTTAGTGAAGTTAAAAAAAATTATGTACCTGTGACAGACCAGCGTGTGCAAGGCACAACAGGAGAATCTGCCCTCAAAGGCATCTTACAGCAATGCACCAACATCTACACTCTAGGAGGCGTATTACATTCGGCTGCAGGCTCTGTTTGGGCCAGGCAGCTCCCCTGGGCTTTGCTGGGTGGGTCTGACTGCTCAGGGGACGGTGACCAGTGACGAGACACCGGCAGGGTCAGGCGTTCGCATACAAGAGGGCCTTTAACTTTATAAAGTAAAGCAGAGCTGGCCTAGAGCTCAAACACAGCCAGCATTCCTGGCTACAGCCCACACTGCTGCTGGAGACCAGACTCTGCTTATGTTAGAGGCAAGATCTTGATTTTCCACAGCTGTAAAAGGAGAACGGATAGGAGCAGAGAGACAGGGAGAAAGATATTAACAGCGGCCCCAAAGGGCCAGGGCAGCAGCCTACCCTCTGGCTCCGCAGCGTGACACCTGCAGATTTGAAGTCGGGAAACTTGATGCCAGCAGTCTCAGGAACAGCCTGAAAGAGATTGAGACAGGATGTGTTGACGGAGGAAACGCATGGGGTGACACAGAGGCTATCTGAAGGGGAAACACCATTTCCTGACACACAGCCACCTGCCAGAGCTGAGGGAAAGGAAAATCCCAAGCAAACCCCATAGAAACCACTGAGGAAAATACTCAGCTCCAAGACATCTTTGGAAAACACAAAGCCACCTTTGTGCAATGCTTTCCACTGAGTCAGCCAACCACCACAGAGGGTGCGAACCCCAACCAACACACCTCCAGTGGGTGAATGCGGCCACATGACCCGGGTCTAATTTAAGGCCCAACTTAGCAACTGAAGGCACTCAGCACTCACAGGATCTGGCCTTTCCACTGCAAGCCTTATGGGGCAGGAGCCAGCCATTCTATGATTTGTACAGCTCCGAGCACCCTCATGTGGTCCCCTATATAATAAGGACTGTTCTCCTTGATTGAGGCCTGCATTTTACTATGTATTAAGTCACTTATTTGCAGCTTTTCCTTTCCCTCCTCACGCTCTGACCACAGCTTGCCTCTCTGTATTGCTTGGAAGGTGCTCACTGATGAGCAGGGCACCCGATTTAGCAGGAGAGGTTTGGTTGGTTTTTTTTTTAAATGCAACTGTGGAGAATGCTGTGCGACTGATCAGAGCATTCAGTGACCTGCCTTTTTAAACGACAACTATGCCAACCTGAAGATATTAGTGGGAATAAATCCCTGCAAGATCCTTTCATGTTGGGCTTTCACCCTTTCTGCCCCAGTGACAAGCTCCAGAGCTGTATTCTACTTCCCGTAAACTCCCCCTAAAGTTTCAGATGGAGAAATCTCTCTTCTCTCACTTGAAAGTCACCAGGATATTGAGTCACTTCCATCGACAGCAGCCACATTTCTATGCTGGAGGGAACTGCATTTCACAAGCAGGTGCGTGATCCCCAGACACACAATCTGCTGGGCCCTCTGGGGTGAACGAGTGCAACGGAACCACTAAGGCTCGATGGGAAATACACCTGTAGGATATGATCTGGTGGTTTGTGTGCTCTCCCTGCCAACCATGTCTCTCTCCTGCTCACTCGTATGCTCCCCCAAAGGAAAAGCCATCTCCAAGTCCTGGCTGCCCCCGCCACAGAATCAGTCACGCTGCTCTCTAACCTCATTTCTCAGAGGCTCTCCGGTTTGCTCTTGCTATTGTTCCTGGATTGAGACTACAAGGACAGCGACTCAACTCCCCGGGTTTCCTGCTAACAGTCACCACCTGAGTCAGAACTCTGCAATGTGCTGTACAATGCATCTCACCTCTTGCCCCTGCCTGGCCAGCCCAGCACCGTGCTGCATGGGCAACGGGCCTGCCCGGCAGTAACGGCACTCACAGTTAGCCCTAAGCAGGGAGTATTTGACCCAATAACTGGGTGACACACAAGCCAAATAATCAGTCCCTAAAGGCCCCAGGCACTGTTGTTTCTAAATGTCGTTTCTAAATACAGGGATGGCCAAAGCGTGTCCCAGGGGCCAAACAAACCCATCGAGGTGTACCAGCCACTTTCATCTTTGGTAGGTACAGCCTACAGCTTGGATTCTGATCGGAGCACAGTGGGTGGGGGACCTGTAGTGTCCAGAGCACACTCAAGACAATGTGCCCTGCTCCATTTCACACAGTGTGGCCCTCAACCAGGCACCCTGGGGCAGCGGGGATAAAACCAGGTCTCTTGCTCAGCCGAGTCGGCTCTGACTGCGCTGAGTGCATAAGCAATTAACGGGGTTCTCCTGCCTCGCACGCCTGTACAAGCTGTAAACGCTTCAACCTCAATTGACTCTTTGGTAAATGATTTTCCTTTGTTGGAACGATGCTGATGCAGCTCTCGATTCAAATTCTTAGTTAAAATGCAATTTTTGTTAACGTTTCCCTGCTAGAGTTGGTAATTGACTCCTAATGGACTCTGTCATGGTTGAAATGACGCTCGTGTAACAACAGAAACCGCCTCCCTGCCTGCCCTGCCGCACCTACCTGGGCACGTACATGCAGCCGGACACCAACCCACAGCTGCCACTCAGGGGGACACAGACCAAACCAGCTGGGAGCTTTAAACGCCTTTGATGCCATTTCCCATCACCACCCCTGTTCTGCTCCCACCACTTCTGGGTTCTCTCCCCTCGAACGCAGGATGCTCGGGCAGTGGGCGAGCTGTGCTCTGCCAGCCCAGGGAAGCTCACATCATAGTGCCCTGGCTTTTCGGGTCTCTTTATTTATGGCACAGAGACCCCCTTTTTGGAGCAAGAAGGTGCCTGACGAGTAGCTGGGCAAGCACCATGAAGCAACAACAGCCAGCAGTGCCCTTCTCCTCCCTCCATCCACCCCTGCTTCAGCTAGACGAGAACAGTCCTGGCTGCGGACAGCGGGGCAGCAATTCCCAGCCATCGGGTGGCTTGGCTAGCTGGCACCATGTTCGGTGCGATTTCATAATTCAGGTAACCCCTAGCATTTTACAAACATGAACTGATTCAGCATCAGGGCCCCTCCTGGGAGTAGAGAAAGTAGCATCACCCCCATCTTACCTGGGGAAACTGAGGCACAAAGCGGTGGAGCCAACTGCCCAAAGCCACAGAGCAGGTCAATGGCAGAGCTGAACTGAAACCCGCAAATCTGGGCTCCCTAGTTTCTAGACCACATTGCTACCAAAAATATACCTGTCTTTGGGCCCAGACAGCAGCCTCCCCCTGCCCCAGCTGAAGCCCAGCACCTGGCACTGGCAGGACGAGACCGGTCCTGGGAGGAGAACTCAGGGAATAAATGTTACCCAGTGACAGCGAAGACAAGAAATGTTTACAGGCTTCTCTGTCTCCTTCTTCTGGGGCAGCTTCTTCTTGGGAGCCTTGCGCTCCGCTCGCCTCTGCTCGGTGGTGGTGTCGGCAGCGGTGATGAGTTTCTGCAGGTCTTGGGTTCTCTTCTCTCTCTCTTTCTTCCTGGCTTCAATTTTCCGGAGCTCCTGGATCAGATATTCCTCTTCTGCCACCTGCCGGCCAGAGCGAGGAAAGGCGGTTAGAGCAGCCAAGGGGGCAAAGCAAGGCAAGGGGGCCACCTACCGACAGCAGCTCTGCTCCCACGCCCGTCCCCACACTGGCCCTGCACCCAGGTTTTAGCTTCCTTGCCTTACCCAGCCCAGGCACCCAACACTGCAATTCCAGGAGGCATTCAGGGCCCAGTGGGTGGCTGCTAGATCCCACCCTGGGCCCAAGTTACTCCCCCGACAAACCCGATCCCTTGGTTTTCCCTTGAGGGAGAGAACTCAGCGTGACACGTTCTGCAGGGCTGCTTGGTCCAACAGGGGGGACGAGAGTACCGTGGGTCAGTACCCTTGGTCTCTGGGAAGGCAGCACCTTGCGTCACCCCAATGACTCCTGTTACCCTGCACTGACGGGTGTCCGATCCAAACCCCCATGGGCCAAGGGAGAAGAGCAGCACAGCAGGACTGGGATAAACCGAGGGGCAGGAAGTCGGGTGAGTGACTGGAGGGGATTGCTATCTCTCACCAGCTCCCTGGGAACACGGAAGAGCCGTCCTGGCAGCTCCTGACCTGGCAGCACTGGGACCATCTGCAGCTAGCGACCATTAATTAGCCAAAGAGGAAGAGCGGAGCCTCATGTGCAACATTACAGTCCCCAGTGTATTCCAGCAGGACTGACGCTCCTGCCTGCTGCCATGAGGGCTAGGTACTGCCTGCGCTCCCCAGAAGTCTGAGACAGCTGGGGGGAAGCCCGGCAAACGCACACCCTGGAGAGAGTTCAGAGGCTGCCAGGGATCTCACTTCGTTTCAGCCCTTAGACCCAGGAAAACTAGGCTCAGGCCATGGCCTGTGCTAAAGGCTGGAACCCCGTGCTGGGTATTCGGCCACCTTAGAGCAGCCATTGTCAATTTGTGACCCCCAAAGAAGCTGTTGCTAGAGATCAGAACCCTGCTTCTCTCCCTTCCCCGCAACCTTCTGCCAAATAACTGTGCCAAATCATTGCCCCACTGCGCTCGGCCTGCCTCATGCAGCCACCCGTTACTGGTCAGACACACAAGCTGTAAGCCCTGGGGGACAGGGGCCACATCTTTGTGCAGTGTTTATGCTGCGCCTAGCACAAAGGGACCCTGAGGCATGCCTGGGGCCCGTAGGCACTACAGTAATACAGAGAAGGACTAAATCCTACAGGGCTTCCTCTGTGGCAACTGCCACAAGGCCTCGCAGGCTGCGCTGGGGACGTACGATTGACAGTGGAGAGGGTGTGGGAAGGGGAGGCCCGGCTGAGTTACCTGCTCTGGAGTCCTGTTGTACAGCCTCTCCAGCTGCTCCTTCCTACGTCTCTCATGGCCGGCGTCAAAGACGGGGATTTTCAGGTCGGTGCCTGGAGCAGCGCGGACGTTGGCCAGCTTGGTGCAGATGTGGTAATACCGTTCCTTCAGGTCCTCCACTGACCTTTTCTGTGGAATACCCCACAGAACGGACGACGTTACAAGAGGGCTGAAGGAAACCCAGCTCCCAGTCTTCGGGGGAAGGAGGCCATGCCTCCAGAAGCAAGGCGAGGGAGAAGGAATAGCAGAGCGTGGAGAGGCCTGTCCCTTCTGACTGGCCCAGTTTCTGTGAGGGTCTGTGCAGGTTGCCACCCGCTGTTATTAGCACCTTTCACTACTCGCCTGCCACTGCTGCTGTCTCGGGGTTACAGAAAAGGGCTGGAAGTGAAGAGACCTGGGTTCCAGCCTTGACAGTCACTGACTCATGGTGTGACTGGGAGAGCGCCTGCACCGTGCCTCAGTTTCCCTATCTCTAACACGAGATGATGATACCGTTCCTCCTTTATAACGTGCTTTCAGATCCTCCAGGCAGGTACTATAGTCCTACTTCACCAGTGTTATCCCTGTCACGCTGCTCCTTCTCTCTCCTGCCGGCAGAGGCTGGCACTGCAGAGGGGGCCCAAAGCTTCCTTCTGGCGGCCCACAAGAGAAAGCTGTTCTCAGAAGCTCCTACGCAGAAAATGGGGCCTGGTGTCTGAGCTCCCAGCCACAGGCCTGGATTTCACATGGAGCACGTGATAAATGCCTTGGGGCCCCGTGACAAAGAGCGCTAGTGATTCACGCTCTGTGCTGCATTGTACCGAATGAGGTCTGAACGGTGTGTGACACAGGGGTGCAAGATGTAACAGTTTCCCTGGATTCCCCTGCCTGGCTGGAACCAGGACAAGGAGAGAGTGGGCTGCCTCAACCGCCCTTTGAACTTTGTTATAAAGCTAATACTCTGTCCTGCTACCGCGCCCTTCATCAGAGCATCTCACAGGCTGTTACAAGCTTCAGAACCAGGCAGTGACTCGGTTTTCCCCAGCATGCTCCCCTACCTCACAGGGAAACAGGGTGGGCTAGTAGTTAGTGGAGAGGACTAAAAGACAGGACTCCTGGGTTCTATTCTCAGCTCGGTGACTTGCTCCTTGCTTCACAGGCCTGACAAAGACTCGCGCAAGGTCATGACGCAAGCCAGTGCCGCTTGCTGGAGAAGAACCCAGGATGCTGGCCCTTCACTGAACACTAGATGATCTTCCTGCCCAGAGGTGAGACTCGAACCCAGGAGTCCTGACCTCCAGGCCTCTGCACTCCCCACTAGCTCAGCCTGCCTCTTTTTCAGTGCTTGGTGAGTTGGTTTCCTGGCAGGGACAATTTTCTCAAGGGATTCTGACTTCCTAATAAAATGCAACAGGGAACCGACGTGAGTTGTGGCGGATTTAATTATAAACAAAACGAGTAGTAATACCCTGTGCTGGAAATTCAATATTCCTCCCTGCCAATAATTCATTCTTTTCCCGTAATTAAGTTGATACAACGGGTAATTTGCTCCTCGCCACGCGGCAGGCTCAGCGCACCTCCCGGCTGCGTATTCCCGGCACTCACCTTGAACTGCTGGTGGTCGTAGCGGTCATGGATCACCACGAAGCGCAAGTCGAACCTGCGGGAGAGGTCGAAGAGGTGATCTGTCTCCACCTTGGTCCAGGCGTCGTCATGCAGGTACATCTGATACTCCTGCTCCGAGTACACAGGCACCTGCACTGTCTGCAGAGGGAGAGAGAAGGGAGGTGGCTCACTCGTCGGGCTGCCCCGCCCCCAGTAGCTGGGGCCTCTCTCAAGCTGCCCTACAGGTAGAGACAGAGCAAACCAAAACCACAGGGCACAGATGGGCAAAGGGGCCATGAGTCTTTGCCCAAGTGGTCCCCTTACCCACCCAACTGCACCTCCTGTGGACACTGCACATGCCCCAAGGCAGCCACTGCCACAATGGAGCTATGGAGCCAAGTGGAAGGGGTCACGTGAGGTCCTCCAGCCCGCCAGGGTTTATTTGGTAATTATCCCTGTGCATTTCCAATGTGCCCACTGCCACCGTATCCAAGCACCAAGAGGCCCAGAAGACCTGCCTTGGCCTCCCAGCAGGGTCTCACTTCCACCAGCCCCCAGCCCCTCACTTCCAAAGGCCCAGCCAAGGGAAGGTGTACAACCAAGAGGGACCTCTCTGAGAGGCAGAGACTCGAAGTCAGGGTCTCAGACATTATGCTCTGGGCATCATTCTCCGCCCAGACAAACCGTGTTCCCCATTCCACCTGCTCTCCTAGAGGGAACTGCATGGCCAGGCAGTGGTCACTGGGCCCTAGCCTGGAAGCCCTGACTCAGGCTAGCCAAGAGCCTGAAAGCAAACAACCTCGTGTTTGCAGCTACCCTCCTCCCCATTCCACAAAGCCCTTCCAGCTCAGTCCTTCCTGCCCTCCAGCAGCGGCACCTGGGCATTCACTGTGGCCTACCAAACAAGGAAGGCTCCTGTGCTGTCATATATTCCCCCCGGTAGGCTCCTCCTACAGGCAGCACCTGGCCCTGTATTCCCCCGGCACAAAGGTCTGAAGGTTGGATGTGGTGCAGCTATGGGCCACCAACCCAGCTGCCACCTGCTCTCTTCCCCACCGTCACTGGCCCTTTGCGAGCAGACAGCTGGCCCTCACTCCTGTGTCAACCCTGAGTCCCCAGACACCGTCAGGGCAGGGAGCACAAAGCCAACACTGGGGTCAGTCCAGCCTGCTTTGCAAGGGTTGGACACTGGATGCCAGCACATCACAGGCATCACACGGATGCTCAGAGACAGCAGAAGAGCCTGCTGAAGTCACAACACATGGTAACACAATGGGATGAGAGTACAGCCTGCATCCTAGGGAAAGGGCTGCTCCTTTAATCCCACACCCCTAGAGTCTGGAGGGCAACTTCCTGCCTTCGCAAAAATACCCCCCAACACATTTTAATAGGCCCCCGGTGCTGGGCACCTGAGCAGCACACCCTCCCCTGGAAACCCAGAACCCCTGCCAAGCCCTAGGCCAAGCATACAGAGCATCTGCCCCAGCTCCAGCCACTTCGGTGCAGCATCTCTGAGGGGCAGCCCCTTCTGTTCACGAGTGACAGGTCTGCCTGGGCACGGGGAGGCAGCCTGTCAACTGGCCGGGCACTGTGCAAACCTCACTGCTCTCAGGAAGCATCTCTTAACCATGGAAATCAGGGCGAGAGCACTGCGTCAGATGGCTTATGGGACACCCAGACAGTGGGATCATTTACTTGAGTCTAAAGGATACAGGGGCTGGGAATGGGTGAGAACTACCAACCCGGACCAGGCTGGGGAATGGAGGAGAAGAGAGTGGCTGGCTCACCAATTTCGGAATGGGCCCCAGAGCCTCTCATCTTTAGGGGACAGCTACCCCGCCCAGGGACTGCTATTCTCTGACGGCGAGGTGTCTCTGAAACACAAGCTGCTGGCCCCACCAGAAATGGCTCACGAGAACAGTGGACTCTCTTTTGAATTGTGAGAAGTGGGGCGGAGGCAAGGACACGTCCTGCCTGTGTTGGCTCAGTGCCGTGCCGCAGCACGATGGCCGGCATGAGTAGGTGGCTCTGAATTTCTCAGCGACTCCCATTGCGAGAGCGCTTTTTGGCCGGGGGATCCCAGAGCGCTTCACCGCACAGATACACTCTCTGAGGAGAGCCAGGCTCCAGCCTGGCATTCTGGCCCATCCATGGTACCTGCTAACACCTGGCAGGGGTATTTTGGGTGCGATAGTGGCAGAGATTATCAGTGCCCCTTGTGAGTGAGCACAATGCCGGCACCCCTCAAAGCTCGACTGTGGGTACCCGGACGTCACCTTGTGAATCGGCTTGACAGCCCTGCCAATTGCTGCCCAATCACTGAACCCTTTGCAGGTTAGGGCACCAACACAGGAGATGCGGGTTCAAGGTCCTGCTCTACCAGACTTCCCATGTGACCATGGGCCAGTCACTCGGGCTCTCCATGCCTCACCTGCTGCCCTGTCTCACGGCAGTGCCGAGAGGAGAAATACATTCAAGACTGTGAGGTGCTCAAATATTACGGGAATAGGGCCACAGAAGTACCCCGGCCTGCAGAAAGGTGCTGGCGAGGCAGAGCTGACAGTCCCTGGACCCTTCCTCACATTTCCCTGAACTCCTTTTCTTCTGACTTTAGACCTGGGAGAGGCACAGAGACTGCCCTGGTCTTGATAGCTGGTGGCCACCTCCTGGCACCGGTGTCCATGTGCTGATCTGATATCTGTCAGCAGCCTGACACAGGGACCGTATGGGGACCCTGGTGTGCTGCCCATGGCATGCCCCGCCAGACTTGTGGTCCAGTAGAGCAGTGGACGAGGCCTGGCTACAGCATAGCAGCAGGCTGACAACACTCCGCTCTCACACCTCTCAAAGGCCCAGACAGTGCAGTGCCTGTCAAGTGCTGGGCTTGGGTGATGGCTGGCTGAGTGGACAGGACTGAAGTGAGATGGGAACGGCCCCTCCAGACGGCAGATGTTGTATCTGCTCTTTCAGTTCAGGGGGCTGTATCTGCCCTCAGAACAAGGAGCACAAGCTTGGAGCCCTGCTGGATTTTTGGCTTCTCCCGGAGTTCCAATCAGTAGCAGCTGCGAACGAGGCTTTCCCTCCTCGATGCATGGCAAGAAGATTGTGATATGGACATTACCCAGGTCTTGGTCACTTCCAGACGCGGTAACCACTAGGGCTACTGCTCATTTGGAACACTCTCCACTTCTGGTCACCCGTCTCAACAGAGAGACAGCGAAAGGAGATGGGGTTCTGAGGCGAGGAGCAAGAATGATTAGATGAAAAGACTAGGAATGATTAGCTCAGAGAGGAGACGAATGAGAACATAAGAATGGGCACACTGGATCAGACCAATGGCCCATCTAGCCCAGTACCCTGTCTCTCTGACAGTGACCAGTGCCAGGACTTCAGGGGGAGCACACAGAACAGAGCAGCTGGAGTGGCCCACCCTTGTCTTCCACTCCCAGCTTCTGGTACTCAAAGGTTTAGGGTCCCCAGAGCATGGGGTTGCATCCCTGACCATCTTGGCTAATGCCCACTGATGGACCCTCCATGAATTGATCTAGTTCTTTTTTGAACCCAGGTATACTTTTGACTATCACAACATCCCATAGCAATGAGTTCCACAGATTGATTGTGCATTGTGTGAAAAAGTCCTTCCTCCTAAACCTGCTCCCTATTCATTGGGTGACCCCTGGTTTTTGTATTGCGAGAAAGGGCAAATAACACTTCTCTATCCACTTTTTCCACACCAGTCATGATTTTATAGACATTATCACATTCCCCCTTTGTTGTCGCTTTTCTAAATGAACAGCCCTAATCCCTTTAGTCTCTCCTCACATGGAAGCCATTCCACACCCTTGATCATCTTTGTTGCCCTTCTCTGAACCTTCTCCAGTTCCATCATATCCTTTTTCAGATGGTGCAACCAGTACTAGACACAGTATTCAAGGTATGGGCGTACCACAGATTTATATCGTGGTATTATGATTTCTTTTGTCTTATTTTCTATCCCTTTCCTAATATTCTGTTAGCCTTCTTGACCACTGCTGTGCATTGAGGGGAAGTTTTTGGAGAACTGTCTGCTGTGACTCCAAGATCTCTTTCTTGAGAGGTAACAGCTAATTTAGAACCATCAGTTTGTATGCATAGTTGGGACTACATTTTCCAATGTGCATTACTTTTCACTTATCAGTGTTGAATTTCATCTGCCATTTTGTTGCCCCGTCCTCCGGTTTTATGAGCTCTTGAATAATTTTGTAACATCTGCAAATTTCGCCACTTCACTGTTCACTCCCTGAGAGAAATACAACTTAATGACGAGGACAGAGAAGGGAGATCAGGTTTTCTATTTACCTCTCACAATGCAAGAATGAGGGGACACTCACTTAAAGGGAAAGGTAGAAAATTTCAAAGGGAAAAAAGGAAAAGCTTGCTTATCAAACAAATTAACCAACCGGTGAACTCATCTCCACCAGATCTCATTGATAAGAGCCTAGCAGGATTCTAAGACCCATTAAACCCATATATGGGTACTGAGAGCAGCCAGTCATGTTAGCTCAGGTAGAGAGGGAAACCCTTGTGTTTCATGGCGTAAGCTGACCACTAAACGGCAGGAAGCAGGGAAAAGCTTTCCTTTGGGGCAGGGGCTGTCACTTACGACGCGTTCTGCCCAGCACTCAGCACAATCGGGCCCTGAATGGGCCTCTCGGCGCCTGCAGCATAAATGATAAATAATTAAAACAGCAGCAGCACGCTATTCCACAAATCTCCCACGGCAGGGGTTTTAGCTCTGAAGCGTCTGGCACTGCCTGCTGCTGGAGACAGGACTCTGGGCCGGATGGACCCTGGGTCTGCTCCAGTCTGGCAATTCCTGGGGAATGCAGCTGCCCGACTCCTTAGTGGGGTTTTTTGCATGGAGCTTGGCAGGCTGACACGAAATCAAGTGGAGGCTTGACAAAGGTCAGGCTTGACAAAGCCCTGGCTGGGATGATTTAACTGGGAATTGGTCCTGCTTCGAGCAGGGGGTTGGACTAGATGACCTTCTGGGGTCCCTTCCAACCCTGATATTCTATGATTCTATGATTCACTGAGATTGGAGAGAGGTCTGGAAGCAAGTGGGGATGGAGAACCTGGTGGGAGGGAGGGAGAGAGATCAAATGAGGGCCTAAGCAGGA